AGCGCGGCGACGCGCTCCCAACAAATAAGTTGTCAGAGAACTTAAGTTGAGCAATTTTCATAGTTTTCGTCGCTGGCATTTGCGGCGAGCAATCTTTTTGCTTTGGTACAAATTTGCCGGAAATGAAATTCATTTGTTTTCCGTACCTCAAGATTGTTGTAGCTGCGGTTACAGGGGCTTAGGCGTGGGCGTGGGCGTGGGCGTGGGCGTGGCCGTAGCCATTGCTTGGCTACATTCCGCATGTGCCGTCGATTCGAAGGCATGTATCCTGCCTGCATTTGGGCTGGGCCAGTTCGTGCCAGATATTTCATAGCTATGCCCAGCACCTGGCTTTTAATTATTTTTAATTGCATGCAGCTGCGCTTGACGTCCCACAAAACACATTCACCAACAAAAATGTTAGCAGCTTCGGGTCAGGAAAATATGCTACAATAGCCAGTTAAAGCTGGCCTTGTGTGCATTTGACACCTTGTGCAAAATAATGTGATTCATAAATTCTCTTTTATTTTGAAATGCGGTTGTGTTAAGGCCGGAAACTACCCTAATTGCTGTCATTTACATGACATCATGGATGACAAATAATACTCTGTATATAAAACCAGCTTGAATAGTTGATACCGCCTATACAATAAATACCCTTATATACTTTTAAGAATGAAGTATTTTTTAGATATCACTTAGCACGATAATGCTAATCATGCTAATGTTAAATATTTTTTAAAATAGCTAATTATAATTCATTTTTAGATAAATAATAGGCAAATAAAATACCCAAGATTTATCTTAAGTATTCAAACCAAAAACTGATGCTGCGATTCACATTTTTTCAACACTTCCTTTATTTAAATTATCATTAATATAAATTCGAATTGTACTCAAGTCTAAGACCTGCAAACTGTCAAATTGCTTGCCGCATTAAAAGCCTTGGCAATATTCCGCACTTTACAGTCACATTGTAGGTTTTATTCCCCTGGCTCTTATCGTCGGTGTGCTGAGTGCTTGTGAGAAGCATTTTAAGGTGCCTGCATGTAACGAAAGTGCGCAGCACTTACACACATTTTATGTGCGTAGTGATTCTTTATTTTATGCGCAATATTTTCCTCCAGGTGCGCACACAACTGACAGACTAGGCATAACACGCCCACGTGGTGAGCCATCTTTGAGTGTTGTGATTGGGGGGGCGGAAGCAGAGCTCAATCAATCGCTCGGAGTGTGGCCCTGAGATATAAAATTGACGACTTGCACTACGCGCTTGACATTTGCCGCCTGGAATTGAGGCTCAGTGGGGGATTTACAGCATTGCAAAAGTGCAGAGCTGCAATTTCAACTGAATTTAATTCTTTATTGCTCAAGTTTTGACTTTTATGCACAAACACACAACACGCATGCATACAAACTGTTGGAAAAACAGCAGTGCTTGAAATTTTAATGGAAATTTGCATATGACCGCGTGTCCTGGACCCTGTCCGCGCACTGCGTACACACACGCACATACACTTTCGCACACACATTTGCATATCATAAAAATTCATTTTGTAGCAATTTTTGTGTATTTTTTAAATTGAGCAACCGCAAAGTTTTGCCTTGCATTATAAACAGAACATAGAGAGTTACCTCGTCTCCTAGAGTATGTATTTTAAGAAATGCTTTGATTCGATTCACCAGTTTGTCTCCGGTTTGTCTCTAAATCTGCTGTCCATGTCCATGTCTGCACATAAACGTACGCCCCCTTGTACTTGTCATTTGTCTGCACATTCCTGTTTGTCATGCTCCAGCTCGGCCCGGCCCGGCACGCACATAAAATATATCAATGTGGCCCCAACTCGAGTCTGGACAAGTGGAGTTTGCGGCAACTCGAGATGAGTAGAAGAAGCCCCAAGCAGTGCAACCGACTTTCAGTTCTGATTTAGTGGCATTTATGACAGCCACCGCTCTAAAAAGGCAACGCTTGAGTTTTTCTTGTGGCTAGACTTAAATTTCATCCGTACATGGGGCGTATGCGCAATGCTTTCTTGAAATTTTCAGATAATTGAAACAGTTGCAAAACTTAATGATGCTCTTTATTTTTGTTTTCCCTTCTTGTGTTTTCTTTAATGGCATAATGGCAGACGCAGCAACAAAATTACAGACACAGATACCAACGGCTATAGAGGCAGACAATTTGGTGTCATTGTTCGGTCATTAGCTTTATTTTTATGTGGCAGAACGCATGCTGAAATATTGTTTATTTACTCAATTAGCGCTAATTGCTTGGATCAATAAATTTTTATTTACCTTGCGCTTAAAGGCACAATCCCAAAGTGCCTAACGACTAACAGGCTGAGCAATCGAAGTGCGAATTTTGTGTAGAGAACTCCTTAGACAGACATTCTCGTCGTCGGCAAGTAAGTCGCAATAAGTCTCAGCTGCCATTAATAAAGTCATTACCGTCTGTCAATCTGCCGCTTTCACTTATCAAATACTTGAAGCTACATCAAATTCAAATGGCACAAATACGAGCGCAATCGCAGCTGCAACATTCATGGCGAGCAATAAATTTTGAGGCTTTATCTTCCAGTCTGACAAGCGGATGTTTCATTACGCGACGCTCGCTCGTTCGCCCATAAGCAGGCAACGCATTTTTAAACTTCTTATTAAACTTGCCAGCGTCACGTACAGCCAGAATGCGGGGGCAACGAGATAGGGTGCGGGTCAAGTGCGGGGAGTGGGCGTGTTTGCCACGCTTTAAGTTTAAGTGGCTACTTTACAAAATAGCGTCGCATAAAATAAATTTCTTTTATGTACTTGCAAATTGCCAGCCAAAGTTTTCATATAAATAAATAGAAAAGCGCTTCAACGACCAGAGAAAATACACAAAATAAAAAATACAAAAATGAACAAAAAAAAAAAAAAAACATAACATAACTGAAAACAAAATACTGAATGGCATTGTGGCTACTTGTAACAAGTGTCAATGCTGCTGCGCCCACTATAAACATAAAAATCTTCTTGCTACAAAAGGAAAATTTCTTTAAAAACTTTTCCAAGGCGTGGCAAACGCGTTAGGCGTGCTTATTGTACTCAATGCTGCCGTTGTTGTTGTTGTCTTTGCACGTATGTGTGTGTGTGTGTGTGTGTGTGTGTGTGTTTTAGGGAAAGCTTAACGCCAATTGAATGCCAAGTTAAGTGGCAATGTGTGCGAAGGCGTTTTGCTTTTGCAATTTGCAATAACCAAAGCAAGACCATAAAAATATAGTTGCCAAGCCGCCGCCCTGCACAAGGGAGAACGAGATAGCAATAGAGAGAGAGAGAGAGAGAGCAACACAATGAGTTTTTGATTACTTTGGAATTTCTTATTTGCCTTTCAGGCAGTCCCCAAAAAAATCGCGTCCTCTAACTGTGCCAATATTGATAAGCGTTCGCTGAAGCGACACCTACGCATACAGCCACACAAACATACACACACACACACACATACCTTCTGAGGTGGGCCGAGCTCTGGTTTTTTTTTCCAAACAATCTCACAATGGTAGAGCATGGGGTTTTGTGCTTGCTACATTAGCCAAAAATGGGCTGAAAACCGCAAAACCTGCTACTTAAAGGCTGTAAAACTTTTTACCTTGGCGAAAAGCAACATTTAGACTGCATTGTACACTTTAACAAATAGAAGCAAATGGGAACTTTCATCCTTTACTTCGTGCTCGAACATCAAGCCGAATTATTCAGGTTCCTTAATATCTCGATCACTTGCACAGCAATTTCTTTCTCGGGGAGCTTTATAATATTTGAAAGTTTTAAAGTTGAACGTAACCAAAACTTATGAACTATAGAAACTAAGGCTTGATAATAATAAATCGTTACATGAGGTAAATATTTCTTTATTTTTATTTTTAAGTGTATAAACAACATACAACTTATATACTTGTGGTATTTAAGTAATTAAGTTCAAGAGAGAACAATATACACTTTTCTGACTGAATATGTTAAATTTTTATTGTGACTTTAGGGAATATAATTTTAATATTTTATATGTTCAACCGTGTGGGCTAAGTGAATATAATTTAGTTTTCCCTTTAATATGAGTTAAGCATTCAAATTTGAAGCTTTGTTTCATTCGGAAGTAGTTGTTGTGTCAATTAACGCGTCATCATTCGGTAGCTTCCTTCTTTCTGTCAATTTGACCTCCACTTAAACTGAAATGTGTTGTCAGCATGTGGCGCCTGGCTAATGTCAGCGCTGTCGCGGTGAGGTGTTCACGGACATAGACAAGGAAGGCGCGCTAAATTGAAGAATATTTTGCGTAATAAATTTGAAACGTGACGCATGCTAAAATACGTTGAAGCCAACTGTGACCCTGGGCGAAGCTTATTGATAGAGCAAGAAGTATCCGACCATACATGCCTGCTATGCCTGCTCTCGCAATACACTTTGGATGCATAGATAACTGTCATCGTGTTGGGGGTGCGGGCAGCATCTACTGACAGCTCTGTCACCTGCTCACGTACGCACAAGACCAAAAATGGCAAAAAAAAAAGAAAAAGAAATCTAAAAAGTATTTGGCATTTGCTACTTTCACGGCCTGGGTCATCAAAATATGACAACCTTTGCAAACAATTTATGAATTTTCGAATAGTAAGCCTGGTTAAGCCACGATTTCCATTTATTTGCCACTGACCAGGCTCATAAATTATCCAGGCTTAGAACCCGTGCGGTTGGTCACAGATAAGCACGTGCAACGTTTTGCTGATTGATTAAACCGCGCGAAGATCAATATTGCAGCATCAACTAGAAAAGTGTTTGGAGCGTTACAGGAATTGTTATTACATCGTTTGGTAGTTTTTCCATTTCGCCTCACCTAAAATCGGCTGCTCATCAAATGGCTAGCAGGGGATGCTGATGCCAAGCAGAGAGACAAACGGACAAACGGACACACGGACAAATGGCACACGTGCCAAAGTCACTTTTGATATAACTACATGATGGCAGCACTTAATATGCCCCTCAGTCGGCTTTGGGTTTGGGTTCATGTCCGTCTGCTCGCCCACAGCCTCAAGACGTGACGAGTGCGGCCAAAGCGCGTTATGTCCTGGATGGGAATAAAGTCTGAACTCATTGTCATGTACGGCGCATAAACGGCAACTGTGGGCGGTCCACAAAGTCAACAACAGCATGGAGCAAAAATACTCAATACGACCATTTGCCAGTCACAGGCGAGCCCGCATCAAGCATACGCACCGTGTACTTTCACTCACTGTATAGTTGTCTATCCAAAACATTAAACAAAGCACTTGCCAAGATGCTAGCATAAAATCCATATTACAGTCAACAGACAAACAATGAAAATTCACAGTGGGGGCAGTTGGTAATTGAGCTGACACAGCGTGAATTCGGTATGTAATTAGAATAATTCTAGCCAAGTAAATAAAATGCAACAATAATATTTTAGACCAATGTGGGGCCATAGCTACGAAAATTTGACAATAAATTCAACTGTAAGTGTTTGAAAATTATATCATTTAATTTACTGAATTTAATTCAACTGCAAGTGACATAAAAACAAGAATTTTCGTACCATTTGAGATAGTATAAAATGTTGTTATGTCCATTACAAGGGTAACCACAGGGTTAGGTGATAATTACGAAACGTTTTCATTTATTTTTGGTCCATACAAGGATCATCCGTGGGTAATACTATATAATGGAAGCTGGTTGTGTTAATTTAAATATATTTCTCGCAGCTTAAAGTTGGCTTAAATCTACACTCGATAAATATTCTTATGATGCAAAAGTGTGGACCATTGGGTCGTAGTTCGGTTAACGCATCGAATTCATTATAAATGCAAATCAGATTTGGCTACAACTTCAAGTTCAATCTGGCCATCAAATTCATAGCGGGTGTGCGCGCCACGGAAAGGCCAACAAACCAGGTGATAGTCTCAGCCAAAAGTTGTCTTAGTTTGTTAACCCGTTTTCGGCCAGAGGCCAACGGCCAAATGCAGCAACCTTAGGCGACGCTCAGCTGTCAGATTAGTTATGCCATCTTGTTTCTTATTTTATTATTTTACTGCGCTCGCTCTCTAAAGGTCTTTCATGACACATACGCACTGTGGGCCATATTTATGACAGCGTACATATATGCATGTAGGTGTGTGTATGTGAGGGAGTGTGGGTGCTTTATTTTCTAATTACAGCACATTCGCACAAGTATGCGTGGGTGTGTGTGTATGTGTGTGTGTGTTTGTGTGTGTGTAATTAGTGTATGCATGTTTTTATATTAAAAGCCGTCGCGTTCGCTGCTTAATAAATTAAACGACAATTTGCACATGCAAAAGTTGCTCGGTGCCTGTCAATGTTGTTGTTGTTGTTATTATAGCCTTGTTGTTGTTGTAGTTGTTGTTGTTGTTGTAGTTGTTGTCATTGTTGTTGGTGCTGCTTCTGCCAGCGCTCGTAAAGTGCTGTTTAGCTACTGTCCTTACTCGCAAACGAGTTTGAAAAAGCAGCCGCGTCGCTACAGGACGACGAGGACATTATGCGTGGGCATTATATGTAGGCATGCTTGCAATTAAAATAAAACCAGGGCACAAGTGTCAGTCGGGCCTGTATGTATGCGCTGTGGACCCTGTACTATGTACTCAAATGTTCTTAGCTGTGACTAAGCCTAAGTCGCGTCCTCATGCAGGCTAAAATAAAATAAGTTATTGCCTACTTGTGGGCGCTGAGACGCTCACAATAAGCTGCGAATTTATGTGCGCTCTTTTGACGCTTTTTGTGCTTTAGCCTCACAACAGCAGGGTGCATCAGTTGAGTATCGATCTGTGCACAGGGTATGTCCTGTTTTTTCTTACCTATTCCCCAATTTGTTGTGGCATTTTTATGCTGGATTTACTACCATTAAATGGTTCCTGGTACATGACTTAATCTCATTTATTATGCTTATCTATTGGATAAATAATTTTACGTTTATTTGTCAACAAATCAGCAGCTGGTGTCGTCAATATTTGATTGCTTACACGAAAAGCTTTGACCGTTATGGCAAATTGATAAATAAATTGACCAGAGTCTAATAAATTGGCAATAAGTCGCTTTGATATTTTTTTCTATAGGTGACGAGTTTTTAAGATTTGATTTTTTATAAGCTTAACTTCTCGTTTCGTTAATTTTGGGTTTTTTTCGGCTTGCAATAATTGACATAATTTATTTGCATGCCAAATTTGACAAATTTGCATTTCTTTAAGTCTATTGCCATATTGTTTAACACTTTGTGGCATGCGGAAATATTTAAGAAAAAAGTCCTTAACTGGCAGCACAAACATTTATGCTAATTCGAAGAAAGAACCAACCAAACACGTTTAACTGGCACTAACTGACAAACAAAGATTTGCAATTTTTTAAAAATAAACTTGATCATTTTGAGAATTAACTAATGCTCTAATTTATAGCTTTAAAATTTAACACCCAGACAAATCAAAAGCTCCGCCCAAGTTGACGCTGCAAAATAATGAATAAAGCAAAAAGGACACGAAATTATTATTATTATTTTTTTGTTGTTGAAATTTATGCATATTTTGCTTATAAAGTCAGGTTAGGCTGTGCTCCCACTGTTTCGGAGATTTGAAAAGTGTTTGTTATAAATAGAACTATTGACCCATCTGGCCCGTGGGGCGTTTACATAGAACCATGTTCTCAGTCCTATCCCGGGCCTGGACGCACTTTGTTTATTTGTATCAATAGTTGTTGTGCGTGCGGCGCGCTCTGCTGTTGACTGACTGTTTCTTTAATTTATTTTAGTTTTTTCTTGAGGTTTTTGTGTTTTGGTTTTTATGTTGCTGCTGCGTGCATCTTTATGAGCGTGTGGCGTCCCAGACCTTGAAATTGTAGCTTGTTTATTTTAATATGCCTACATTTGTTTAGTTTGCATATGACATTGCCACCAGCGATAGGCGGTGGCACCGCCAGCAGCCGAGACGTCGAAATGCCGAGCAGAGCAGCTGGCCGCACAGCTTAGTGGTCTGGGTGGAGCCATAAACAAAACGAAGACAAATTATTTTTGGTTTGAGGCTGTGGCTTAGGCTTCGAATCTTGATTGACAACTTCTGAAGCTACGCCACATTCAGCTCGGCCAAAAACAAAGCATGAATGGAAAGGGAAATTGATGAGGTTCACAAGAGAATTTGTAGAATCAATTAATAGGGGCTTAAACTATCAGATGTTTTATATTAGAAAAATATTCAAGTAAATTCAAAGTTTGTTTCGGCTTTAGTTATTATTCAAAGTAGAAGTTATTATGCAAAGCAGACTGAGTTGCGATTACTCATAGTTAAACTTATCCATGATATCCATCTTTGAGGCGCCATCGATTTGCAAAACTATTCAGTTATCTCAGTTGTGGATCTTTCGAATTTTAATGCTCCACAGATTTAATTATGCAAATTGATTCAATATCAAATATGTTGTTGGCATTTATTTATCTATAGCAGGGCTGCGAGAGTCAAAAACAATAATTTTTATGATATCAATAAAGCATGATGAAAACGTGATAATCGCTGATCAGATTAAATGGTCGTCGCCTGGCGCCAGCTGATTACCGTCGCATAGCTTCAGGTGACGAACAGTAAAAACCTCAAGGTCGCAACGCTTGTTAAGTTAATGGCTTCTACTTATTTTGGCCAACTGTCTAACCGGCCAACAACAAGCAACTTTGAGAGCTAAACGGATGCGCAAAAAAGTCAAAAGATTTGGAAATTGATATCTATTTGCGACTACGACTATTTTATAGATATTGAGGCCATTGTTTCGCCTAACACGCACATTCCTTCAAATGTAACTTGATAAATTTTTGGTGTCCCTTGCCAAATAATACAGCAAAGATTGAAATTCATAAAAAACAAGACGCTATAATCGATTGGGTATTCCCAAACTAGAAATCTTTGCACCAGGCAAGCTTAAAATGTATACTTAACCGAACTGGGAATTTTAAATGTCGCCTCGAACTTGTTTTGATGCGCCGCCAATCCAAAATCGGTATCAACATTGATCGGCATCCAACCAACATTTTTTTGCATACAAATATGTATAAAGGAAATAATTTCTTTTATTAAAACCATGATCATATCACAAAATAGTGTAAACTCGTTTTGATGATGAGCCTTTGCTGCTGCTTCGACTGGCCCTAGTCTCGCCTTCGGTTGGCTCTTAGGCAAGGGCTGCGACCCATTTGCATAATGCCAACAACAATATTTGCAGGAATGGGCCGACATATCGGAGATGCGCTGCGATGTTGACATTGCTGGCATTGTTTTAACGCTTTGGCTTGTCTTTCAGGGCTCGATATCAATTTAATAGACAAAAGCAGCAAAAGAAGTTACTGCTAAATGCTTCGCTTCGAGCTGCCGCAGCCGCCGCCGCAGAAACAACAACAACTACACCGTATCAGCCACAACAACAATAACAACAACAACAACAGCAGCAGCAGCGACCACCGTGGCTCGATGTCTGCATGAACTTGAGCGCAGTCGAGTGACACAGTTTTGAGGGTTTCGTATAAATAGTAGATCCAATGGTGCTCCAAACGTCAGACACAACCGAACAGTCAAAGTTAAAGAACTTCATTCAAGATGCGTGCATTCATTGTAAGTAGCCAGGAGCCAACTGCAACCCGCATTTAGGATTACCTCATCCATCTTTTCTGTGTGCAGGTTATGTGCTTAGTGGCAGTCGCCTGCGCCGATAAGCTGGGCTACAACTACCAGCCCGTTGGACACTCCAACCAAGGACTATCGTTCGCCCCTGGCAGCGCAGGTGGTAGCATTGGAAGCATCAGCGGCGGTAGCTCGCTGGGTGGAATTGGTGGCGGTTTGGATTCCGGACTTAGCGGCGGCAGCATTGGTGGCGGTTCCGGTCTCAGCGGTCTCGGCAGCCTCGGCAACGGCGGTCTGTCCGGCGGAAACCTTGATGCTCCAGTCTCTTACAACGCCCCTGCCCCAGCTGCTGAATTGGAGAAGGAGTTCTTCACCTTCACCGCCAACGAACAGGACTTCGATGAGCCCCAATCCCTGGACAAGGTTTCCAGCTCTCTGAACAAGGGTCTGCGTGTTATCTTCATCAAGGGACCCGAGAACCGTGGTCTGGAGAACGCTGCTCTCGCTTTGGCCAAGCAGGCTGCCCAGCAGGAGACCGCCATCTATGTCCTGAACAAGCAGGCCGATATCGGTGATCTGGCTAACAAACTGAACTCCATCCGCAGCAACACTAACAACAAGCCCGAGGTGCACTTCGTCAAGTACCGCACCCCTGAGGATGCTGCCAACGCTCAGCGTGCCATCCAATCCCAGTACGATCAGCTGGGCGGTTCCAGCCAAGCCCACAACGGTGGTGTTGCCCCCGTCCTGAACTTTGCTTCCCAGGGTCCAGTGCGTCAGGCCAGCGCTAAGTCGCCCGACAATGCTTACTTGCCCACCTCGATCTTCCGTCGTGTCTAAATTTCCAGTTAGATTTAGATCACATGATTGATATTGACACCGATCTTTGACTGATTACCTAGTTATTGTTGAATAATGCTTAATAAATTCGCGATTTTACATGTTACCTCAAACGTATGTGTTTTATCTAGGATGGTTCACTAATTTCATAATGTTAACCAAGGGTGCGACCTGAATTGAACTGAACGGAAAATACAATAATTTTTTATACAATCAACCGATCCTTTAACCAAAACTGCTGCCAGAAGAACAGCTAAAGAAATGCATGGACTCTACCATGTTTAAAAAAGTCATTGATTTTGACCTCAATCAAGTTTTCCATTCATCGTTGAATACTTATATATATATACCTTGAACCTGACTTAAATTGTTTTTTATATAACATTTGAGTTTGTTAATTTTTTCCTCACACAACCTTTGACTGCGTTCTCTACTTAGAAGAGCTACATTTTCAGAAAACTGAATCATTCATAGATATCTTTGCACATGAGATCAAAGCCGAGTGTAATCAAAAAACTTGCATGCAATAATTTACCACCAAGTTTCAATTGTTGCTGCACAATTTGCCTTAGTGTGCACATATAGAATATAGGTAACTACACTAAGAATATCAACTTCCCATATATGAAACTGTGTCAAAAGAAAAATGTCCCAAGCAAACGAGAATCTATTTATCAAAATACTATAAGAATTGTACATATGAGATTTTAAAAATACAACAAATTTTGAAAATAATTAAGAGTATGTATAAAGGCTATTATAGAGGCAACAACTCAGGGCTCTACAGTTAAGAAGAGTTAATAATGAAAACATATGATAAAGGAGAGCTTATAATGAAAATATGTATCCAAAATGGTGGGACAGAGGTGGACATAGCGGCAAATAAAATATCATGCTGTAACTTTCACTTTAACTAGTTGGACAAAATAATATAAATGTGTTTATACTAAGAATTTAGCTGTTATTATTTCTGAATCATGTTCAAATTCTATTAATTTTATTTTATAAATTGATCAACATTTTAATTTAACTAATTCGATATTTCAAAATCAACTAAACGCCTACTTATGGCGCAAGCGTCGCAGAATTGAGGACGGCAAGTAGTTGCTTTCTGGCTCCTGGATTTGTCCAGCGCTGACGGCGGGCGCAGCTGACCGGGATGCAAAGTTAAGAGCATTGGCCACGCCACCGTTGATGTTTTGGCTTGTGCCGCCCAGTGAGTCATATTGGCTCTGAATAGCCTTCTGTGCGTTGGCAGCATCCTCTGGAGTGCGGTACTTGACGAAGTGCACCTCGGGCTTAGCGTTGGCATTCTGGCGCACGGCATTGAACTTGTTGGCCAGTTCGTTCAGGTCAGGTTGCCTGTGAAGCAAATAGATGGCAGTCTGCTGCTCGGCAGCTTGCTTGGCCAAGGCGAGGACGGCATTCTCGTAGCCACGATTCTCGGGCGCCTTGATGAAGATAACACGCACGCTCTTCTTTACGGCGGCAGCTATTTTGCGTGCTGCATCGGGATCCTCAAAATCGGCCTCGTTGGCATGGAAGGAGAAGAATTCCTTATGGATGCCGGCTTGTGGTGCTGCATTGTAGCTCACTGGCCCGCCCAGGCCAGTGCCAGTGCCAATTGAGCCAGAGCTGCCAATGCCATCGGTAGCAACGGACGTGCTGCCGGGCCTGTAGTTATAGCCCAAGCGACCGGCACTAGCTGCCGCCGCTAAACACAATACAATCAAAACGCGCATCTTGCCGTCCTCTACTGTTCTTTTAGAATGCTAGCCATGTCTATATAAACTTAGCTTTTATACCGCCAACGCGGCCAGCGACTATAATTAGACCAGTTGATCTAGCCGCATTTAACCGTCGCGCTCTCTAGCGCCATTTCTTGTTGCTTCTTGATCGGCTCGCCGTTTGCTGGCGGAAGAGTGCTACCACGACTACAAGCACTGGCGACTGGCGACTGGCGACTGGTGATTCGTGATTGGTGATTGGCCGGCGGGTTTTTGGAATGTTGTTAATCTGTTAACATAATTTCGCTCTTAACACATTTAACACATTGTTGTGTGCAGCTTCAATCGAGCCGCCGATGTCGACGCAGTCGCGTCTGTTTCCGATTGGTGATTCGCGATCGTGATTCACCCATAATTGGCTTATAATTTATGCATAAGATTCGGCTAACGCAACCCAAAATGACAGACTTTTTCGTTATATTTCGTGTATACAGAACCGCATATTTGTTAATGATTTCAACAAAAAAGCGATCGTCAGCACAATAAAATTAATGATTAGATTTGTTTGTTTCTTCTTGTTTTTATAGCAAATCAGGTTTTGATCAAACATAAATCTTAAGAGCTCATCATTGTATTTGTCTGTGTTGCACTTGAAATTCCTTTCTAATTGTACATGGCACACGGCAAGGTAACAATGAAAATCAGGTCAAATAACAGTTTATGACTACCGAACGACCTTCAGATCTATTAGGAGATTAACTTGTCACGAAACCTGTCAGGGAAACGGCCTTATGATTTTAAATATATTTAATGTATGATATGAAATAATTGTCACTGCTAAGAACTATACGTGCGAATATCTTCTCCCTTTTTGGAAACAGTAAGAATGGAATATTATCACGATGCTGGGTAAAATCAACCCAATTATGTTAATAAGTGTTTTTTATTTATATTATATGTGCCTTGAATATTTGCTGCTTATGGTATTTCTTCTCACTTTTTGGATATATTAATAATGGGATATTATCACTTTGCTGGTGCAATCAATAATTATTTTGAGAACTGTATGCACTCGATAATACGAATATTAAGTATACGCTTTTTGTATGAAAATAAGAAGGTCACCAAACCCCAACAATTGTGTGATCTCAGTTGGTGTCATATAATTTTGGATTATTCATCAGACAATCTGAAATTTATAGACATGCATAGTTCTGTCAAAATGGAGCTAACCCTTCCACCCCATTATAAAACGCTTTTCATGTTTCGTTATAAAATTACTATTTCGAGTTTATATGTGAAATTAGGCATTAGTCAACAATTGGTAACAATAAAGTTCACTACTTTCGTCATTGTATACTTAAGCTAGAAAACAATTTAACGACGCAGGCGACGGAAGACCGAAGTAGGCAGGTACGAGTTGTCAGGAGACTGGGCGGTCACCTGACGCACTGGACCCTGGGACGCAAAGTTCAAGGCGGGGGCAACACCACCATCGAGAGCCTTCGAAGAGCCACCCAGTTGATCGTACTGTCCTTGAATGGCGCGCTGAGCATTGGCAGCATCCTCGGGAGTGCGGTACTTGACGAAGTGCACCTCGGGCTTGTTGTTGGTGTTGCTGCGAATGGAGTTCAGTTTGTTGGCCAGATCACCGATATCGGCCTGCTTGTTCAGGACATAGATGGCGGTCTCCTGCTGGGCAGCCTGCTTGGCCAAAGCGAGAGCAGCGTTCTCCAGACCACGGTTCTCAGGTCCCTTGATGAAGACAACACGCAGACCCTTGTTCAGAGAGCTGGAAACCTTGTCCAGGGATTGGGGCTCATCGAAGTCCTGTTCGTTGGCGGTGAAGGTGAAGAACTCCTTCTCCAATTCAGCAGCTGGGGCAGGGGCGTTGTAAGAGACTGGAGCATCAAGGTTTCCGCCGGACAGACCGCCGTTGCCGAGGCTGCCGAGACCGGAACCGCCACCAATGTTGCCGCCACTAAGACCGGAGTCCAAACCGCCACCAATTCCACCCAGCGAGCTACCGCCGCTGATGCTTCCGCTGCCAGGGGCGAAGGATAACCCTTGGTTGGAGTGTCCAACGGGCTGGTAGTTGTAGCCCAGCTTATCGGCGCAGGCGACTGCCACTAAGCACATAACCTTAGGTATGAAAAGAAGAGAGGGGTGAGGTAATCCTTTTGTGGCCAGCTGCAGGTCCTTTGTACTTACAATAAAAGCACGCATTTTAGTGTAAACGGTTAGTTGGTTCTTCTACTTCGAGATACGAATTGCTTCTGTCTTCTGCTTGGGCCAATCTTTATTATTTATACAAATCCATCTTCGAGGCTGATAATATCAAAACTGCCGCCTTGGCGTCGCTTGCATAGAAATCGCTTTGATGCCACTGTGTTTTGCCGCCTACAAAGCTTTTGGCTTGACGATTTTATGGTCGATTTGGAATTTTTGTTGCGTTTCAGCGGGCTGCGACTGCGATTGCGGCCGATTGTTTTAGGTTATTCAAATTTTCGAGTTTTTTATTCAATAATTTTTACAAGAATTAATATAAAATTATAAAATTAATATGTGGCGAGCACATTGAAAAAAGTTTATATGCATATCGACGCTATAAAGATGGGTCATAATTACCTATTAAGAGTACAAAAAATATTTTTCCCAAATATTTCGGCAAGGCTACAAGCTTGTTTTATGTAGGACATCTATATTATTTAAAAGTTGCTCATCGGTTTTTCTTTTAACCAAACATGATGATATTGATTTATTGGTATGACATCAGGCCAAATCTTTAGGAGTACATTTAAAATTGTGTTTTGCCATATTCGATTCACATTTAAAAAAACAATATATATTACGTAATAATTATATTTATAATAATTTATTATTATTAATTTCTTGACTAGATTCATAATACTTATCACCATTCCAATCAGTTTTCTTTGTAGGTTTAACAAGATTCTTTCATAGCCTTAATTCATAAGCCCAGCTAACATTGCTTTGCAATAATCTAATGCTTGGACAGACTTTCCTGAACAGACAGACCTTATGCATCAGATACTATGAGTTGTAAGCCACCCATAAGTATTGCTGCACATATGATAACCATCAATCTGTCAAATTGCAAGACAGCAACAATCAATTTATTTCAATAATATTATTTAGAATTAAGTATAATGCTCCAATTGTAAAGAAAATTGAAGCTCATATGATTTAATATATTATAAATAGCCGGAAGGTTTTACAATATACACTGGCTTGTGCAATGTCTGCTTCGCTGTCTGTCCGTCCGTATGAACTCCGATTTTAAATTTGCAAGATATATTTGTGTACATCCACATCTGACAAAAAGTTATAATATTTGAGCCACGGCGAGCAGGAAAGTCTCCCATAGTTTTAAAGCTGTAGTCATCATATTTTACTGGCTCCCGACTGATGTCCTAGTCTAAAGGTCGTCCACTTGGAAAAATAATGGTATTTGTGAACAAATATGATGGCTGAACGAGTTTTGCGGAGTCTGCTACAGTCGTGTCTCATCTTATTATACCAAGAACTATTATTTATTATATTAATATTAGTTTTTTAGCATCGGTTAAAAAAACGCTATTGAGATAATCAATGTCTAGATGCTTAGCATTTTTCTACTTTGATGCATCAATTTTTAAAAATATTTATCGGCCATTAAACCCATTTTATCATTTTCAAACGTTATTTTCCAATCCAATCAGTAAAGCTTACATATTTACAAATATAGATTTAGAAAGACATTCCAGCAATGTACGGATGCGGAGCTCATACAAAATGGAAAAACCTTACGGCCAGTTTTGAAGTGCCAAGACCTACCAGATATTTTCCAACCATTTGCTATAATTTGCTTGTGTTTTCTAGTGTGCATGCAAAGAACAGAAGTAGTGCCCATAAAATAAAATGATCGAACAATAAACAAGCGATAACGACTGTAATTCGCACAGGGAAGAATAAAATCTGCAGCGCAAACTAAAATGCTGGTAAAGGTAAATCATCGCCAGCGTAAGGGTATCGCCTAGATGGATAATCCCAATTTAAGCATTATTACTTAATTTATGTTTGCTTTTTTGATCTGATCTATGTGCACTTATTTTCAAATAGTGTTGCATGAGCTGTCGGTTTTTGTCGTGGTGGCACGTAAGCCAAGTTGGTTCTTTGTAGCGAATAACGATTTTCAATGAAAACTTATACTTCCCCTTATGTTGAAGCATAATGTTTTCTTCCTGTTCTTACAAATTATAGCCAATATTCTGTACTAAGTATGTTTTCCAACTAACAACAAATATTTAAAAAAAATATTCGTAAAAAACTTTAAATTTGAAAAGATTTTTTTCATTTATGCATAACAGTTGATAGAATTATTTAACAAGCAGTCACTGGAGCTTGCGTAGCTCTAGTCGTACAGTAGGAACTCTTTACAAGCGACGGAAGATAGATGTGGGCAGGTACGAATTCTCGGGAGCCTGGGCGTTTACCTGACGAGCTGGAGCCTGGGAAGCAAAGTTCAAGGCGGGAGCAACACCACCATCATGCGACTGAGAAGAGCCGCCCAACTGATCGTACTGTCCTTGAATGGCGCGCTGAGCGTTGGCAGCATCCTCAGGGGTGCGGTACTTGACGAAGTGCACCTCGGGCTTGTTGTTAGTGTTGCTGCGAATGGAGTTCAGTTTGTTGGCCAGATCACCGATATCGGCCTGCTTGTTCAGGACATAGATGGCGGTCTCCTGCTGGGCAGCCTGCTTGGCCAAAGCGAGAGCAGCGTTCTCCAGACCACGGTTCTCAGGTCCCTTGATGAAGACAACACGCAGAGCCTTGTTCAGAGAGCTGGAAACCTTGTCCAAAGATTGGGGCTCGTCGAAGTCCTGCTCGTTGGCGGTGAAGGTGAAGAACTCCTTCTCCAATTCAGCAGCTGGGGCAGGGGCGTTGTAAGAGACTGGAGCGTTCAGAGAGCCACCGGATAAGCCACCGTTGCCGAGGCTGCCGAGACCACCGAGACCGCCAAGACCGGAACCACCACCAATGCTGCCACCACCAATGCTGCCACCACCAATGCTGCCACCGCCAATGCTGCCGCCGCCAATGCTGCCGCCGCCAATGCTGCCGCCGCCAATGCTGCCACCGCCAATGCTGCCACCGCCAAGACCGGAATCCAAATCGCCAGCAAGTCCTCCCAGGGAACCACCGCTTAGACCTCCAATGGAACCGCCTTCGATACCACCCAGGGAACCACCACTGAGTCCTGCTCCACTTCCGCTGCCAGGAGTGAACGACAATCCTGAGCCGGAGTGTCCAACAGGCTGATAGTTGTAGCCGAGCTTATCGGCGCAGGCCACTGCGACCAGGCACATAACCTTTATTTAATTTGTGGAAGAAATAGTCCATAAATATATCCTTTATCTTGGCTGGCAGAAACTTACGATGAAGGCGCGCATCTTGGATTATGCTGCTAAGATTCTCTTAGTTTGAAGCTTGTTTGGTTTCTGTCTAACACCGCAACGGCGGTTATTATTTATACAAATCTGACTTCGAGGCTGTCAGCGTGGCTTCTCGTTAAACACAATGCGGCGGCTTCGCTAAATGTCTTTTCCGCATTGAAATAGCTGCGTTCGTCTTTTGTCTCGTTGCCTGGCTCGGCACTTCGGCTTTGCATTAATGTCGTTATAAGGAAAAGTGATAAAAATCAAAATCGTAAGCATAAAAATGCAATATTTTTGCGTAAAGCGGCAAGAAATATGTTAAGCAAATGCAAAAACAAATGGCTGTAATTTTGGTGTTACTTTATTTGGTCGATTTTATTGTGTGGTCGTCAATAAATTGCATAAAAAAAACAATAAGCGAAATAGCTTGAATCACAATTATTTTAGCGCAAACGCAGGCGACGCAGAATGTTAGCTGGCAGATAGGAGCTGCTGGGCGCGCTGGGAGCCACATAGCTTCCACCTCCTCCAATAGATTCTCTGACAGGGGCACGGGATGCAAAGTTGATGGCTGGGGCAACACCGCCGTTGATGTTTTGGCTGGTACCACCCAGAGAATCGTACTGCGACTGAATGGCGCGCTGGGCGTTGGCAGCATCCTCGGGAGTGCGGTACTTGACGAAATGCACCTCGGGCCTGGCGTTGGCATTCTGGCGCGCAGCATTGAATTTGTTGGCCAGATCGCCGATGTCGGTCTGCTTGTTCAGGACATAGATGGCGGTCTGCTGCTCGGCAGCCTGCTTGGCCAGGGCCAGAGCTGCGTTCTCCAGGCCACGGTTCTCGGGTCCCTTGATGAAGACAACACGCAGACCCCTGTTCACGCTGTTGGCAACTCTTTCGCTGCCAGCAGGATCGTTGAAGTCCTCCTCATTGGCCTCGAATGTATAGAATTCCTTGTTCAGTCCACCGGATGGAGCGTAGGATGAGCCTGGGCTGCTCTCGGCGCCACTGTAGCTGGGCTCGTCGTATGCAACGCTCGGGATGCTGTTGGTGGCGGAGCCGGTGTCAAGTCCTTGTCCATAGTTGTACTGGGCGCATGCGGCGCCAAACAGGCAGAGAACGACGAGGAAACGCATGGTGAACTGTAGAGAAGATGTGTGTACTAATCGGCCAATGGCTAAGACTGAATCCTGATGCTGCGCAACTGGCCTTTTATACACCGCCCTAGTAGCGGGATCGCGCTTAGAACAATAGCTGGGTTCTTAACGGGCACATAATTCAACTAGTCTTGTATGCAAAATAGTGCGCTTATGAAGTGATTATGCAAAACTATCCAACTGGACAGGCTCTTCAACTTTCCGAGTTAGGGAACACGGGAACGGGGGACCGGTTCTTCATGCTAGTTTTCGCCTCTACCTCATTGGAATTTAGGTTCTACAGAGAAATTACTTAAGAATTACCGAACTTGTTCTTAAAACTATAACCGTATCCAATTAAGGCATAGCTATCGTAAATGGCAAATTTAATACCGTCCATTTTAGCATCCGCGTTCACACCAAAAGAAACAGCAACAAATATAAATAAATAATGAATACATTTGAGAAAGGTAGAACATTGGCAAAACCTTTTGAATTAGCCGCAGAGATTAAGTTATGCATGACGACACATCGTTTTATTTTTAAACTCACCATTTTACCGGAAGAAATGTTTTACCAGTGAATGGAGTGAGAATGTTTAGCTAGGTAGCATCTCGGTTATTGCCCTGACTCAATACTTGTTTAAATATTGTCAGTTTAAAACAAGTTCCTTTTAGAATACTTCTGAGATATAAAAGTAACCATTTGATGCATTTGTAATTACCTGAAAGATACAAAAAGTATCTGGAGTGAATCTTCCAGATTCCAGCTTACTGGAATATACGATAATATAATTTTCGCATGTATACCATGTAACATTTAAGAAACTAATATTTTCTTAAATTGATTTATTAATACTTTTCCTTAGAATTAACTGTACAATAAGGGGCTTGACGTTGTTTTTTAAATTAATTGTTGAGTCCAGCGCTATTTTCTGCAAAGCCTTCTTCCAAGTATATCATGGTAAGCGGAGAGGCAGGCCATATGGGTGGTAGACGGCTGTTGAAGTAGGTCGCCTAAGGTATAAAATTTAAGGCATCATGCCCTTTTGCGGATGACCCAAGGTGTGTACAACCTTATTTTTTCAGTGTGATCTTGCTGAATTTGACATGCTCAGGGCCAAACTAGGGCTAGAAATGTTTTATAGAGCAAAAACCTTGATGCTCAAAGAAAGGTTGCTGCTTGCCTCTCAGATCCACGGCATGCTTATTCATTTTATGGTAGACTGATAATACTCTCCGTGAATGTCGCGCTGAGCGTTGGCAGCATCAGGGTTACAATATATAACGATGTGCTCCTCGGGCTTGTTGTAAAACCTTAGGCTAGAGTCGGAATGTCCAACAGGCTAATTTTTGTAGCTCGGCTTATGCGCAGGAAACGGTTACCAAGCAGAAGATGATAAATAATGGCACGCATTTTGGTTAAGTATGTCTATGTATTTGAGAGTCGCTGTATTTACCTTTATTACAATATATTATAGATAATGGATAAGATAAGATAATAAGACAGACCAATTAGCTAATGCCTCTAAAGCTGCATAGGTTTTTTCAGTGCGAAGAAGCATTATTTCTTTTATGATTTGCGTCATCGTAGGTGCAGAGCTTACTATAACTTGGCAAAACAGCGAAAAAGGATAGCAGACTTTGTTTTAATTGCAATCAGTCAAAGCAATTGGCAAATGAGCGGCGCCAAGTAATTTATTAAACATCCAATTATTAAATGATCTTATTTAGTGCTGACATCGCGCTGCAAGCTGAGCGGCAAATTAGCTAATCGATCGAAAAGATGGCATTTATTTTTAGAAATGAAGTCGTCGGCACTTCCGACGCCATTCAAACTCCACGTCCATTGCCGGCTGCGGAAGGTCGCCTCCACCCGCAACATTAGCATAAAGCAGAGCACAAAGCCGTAAAGCTGCGACAAACCAATTTAAATTTCGCGGATCGTTAAAATATGTTTTGTTATAATGCGACCCATCATTTGCATGTTTTGCTTGATTTTCGAGTGCCTTTGGATAACACAGCGGATCCCGTGTTGATTGCACAAATGTTTATGAAATAGGCAAGTGTATCGCATAGATTTTAGTTTACGATCTATTGGCCAGTCAGCCAACAAGCTACTCATTAAAGCTCGATTTATACTGATTATAGAGATAAACAGAAACATTTCGTCAAGGCTTTTTAAAAGAAGAAACGGCAATAATGAGAATTATTTTGAAATGCAGAATATTTTATAGTGCCGGTATCGGTGACGGCAACGCGATCAAGATCTTCTTCTCCGGCCAGCTAAGGAACCATAAACTCAGAGTGGATGTCCAATCAAGCGGTTCTTTTGCATATTAACTAGCCGGCAGTCGAGAGGAACTATTGCATAATTTGACCATTTTATTCAAGCGCTTTGCATAACGGTAAGTGCTCCACATAGGCACCTGCATAAAAACCAAGAAGCCATCTGCTAACCCATCAGATTCAGCGGCCAACTCGAACAGTCTAAACATGCGACACTTTTCCGTTTTTCTATGCTGTTGCCTCGCGGCTTTGGCCAGCGCTGACAAACTTGGCTACAATTATCAGCCGGTGGCTCACTCGGGCACTGGACTCTCATTTGCGCCTGGCGGCGACGCCAGTAATGTGTCGCCCTCGTATGCATCTGGACCTGGCCCCGCTTCTGATTCCACTAACGCAGGCTTCGCCCAGCCTTCAAGTGTGGAGCCCAGCTACCAGCCAAGCGGGTCCATTGCTGAACCATCCGCTGAAGCTCCGAACTATGCCGCAGCACAGCCCGAGCTGCAAAAGGAATTTTTCACCTACACAGCGAACGAAGAGGACTTCCAAGATGCAGCTGGATCTGAGAAAGTTTCAGGCTCGCTGAACAAAGCTCTGCGCGTTGTCTTTATCAAGGGACCTGAGAGCCGTGGCCTGGAGCAAGCTGCTCTGGCCCTGTCCAAGCAGGCCGGCCAGCAAGATACTGCCATCTATGTCCTGAACAACCAGGCCGACATTGCTGATCTGGCCAACAAGCTGAATGCCATCCGTAGCAACACCAACAACAAGCCCGAGGTGCATTTCGTCAAGTACCGCACCCCTGAGGATGCTGCCAAAGCTCAGCAGGCCATTGAAGGACAGTACGATCAGCTGGGTGGATCAGCCTCCCGTCAGGATGGTGGTGTTGCCCCCGTTATTGACTTTGCATCCAAGGCACCAGCGCCAGCTGCCGCCCCAGAGGCTTCTGCACCAGCGCCACAGGCGGCTGAACCCGAAGCTGCGGAGCCTGTTTCCTCATATGTTCCACCTGTGACTCCGGGTAGTACCTATCTGCCAGCAAACATTCTGCGCCGTTTCCGTTTCTAAGATCTTCGAACTTAGACTTTGATCTGTTTTTGTTATTGTTATTGTTGACTTATTGTTGCGAAAATAAAATTTGTTATTTAAAATATTTACATATTTAAAAAAAAATATAGATGATACTTACTTCTTATACCCTTTACCAAAAAAATTTTTAAAAAAGCGTGCTAAAAATAACACATAACACTCGATGTACCTACAAATATATATTTATATATATTTATTTTTGTCAAAATTTTCATGATAATGTCCAAAAACGATAGGATACGATACAAAAAATTTAATAGCTATTGTGTATTGGTTTTCATGAGGACAAAAATTAATTCCTTTGATGCTTTCATTATACCCTGAACCCATTGAAAATGGGTAAAAACGGTATAATGTATGTGTGCAAATGTATGTAATAGGTAGAAGAAAGCATCTCCGAATATATATTCTTGATTAGCCGAGTCGATCTACACATGTCCGTCTGTCTGCCCGTCCGTCAGTATGTTTGAACGCAAGGATATCTGAACCTATAAAAGCTGGAGACTAGAGCTCCTCCTAGTGCCCGCGCAGATCGAGTTAGTTTAATTCGTTTTCTATCTCAACAAGACTCAATTATTGGTGTGGCTGTTGAGTAGAGCCAGTGGAAACTTTGGAATAAGAGGGTTCAGGGTATTCCCTAGTCGGGAGCTCCCGACTAGAACTTCTTACTGTTTTATAAATAAAATGCCGAATATTCTACAGTATGTGTACGGTAAGTGGCGATATATGAAAAATTGATGAAACTTTTTACCAGACGATCGGTTACAGACTTAGATAGGAAAACGGAAATAAACGTTAAGACAATTTAAACCTTGGAATGGGACTTTAAGTGTGGGTACAGAGTATTTGTGGGCCGATAACTTTTGATGGTTCCGTTTTTAATTAGATTTAAATTTGGTTTATTTTTAGACAGAGCATGTTTTTCGCCTAGGAATTTGGTTTTATTAAAATGACGCGAATTTTAATTTGGAAACGGATTTGGGTTTTTTCGTTTGACAAACGGGTTCAGCAGGTTGAATTAGGATGTCGACCTATTAAAGAAAATGTACAAATTAGAAATACAAGTTCTACGACAGCATATTACGCTTCGGTCATGTTTTTGAATATCGCCACATACAAATGTACTTAAATGTTGTTGATTTAGATCAACATATGTTATGTATGTGAGATCAACCCACGAGTTTCCTAAATTGATTTCGTTTGAATTGTCTGACAAATTGCATTGAGCTAAACCAAACAATGCCCAAAACCGTGGCGCCGAGCAGTTTAATATTATTTAGCTCGCATATTGGCCTAAATATACAAATATTTGTGGCCATTAGCCAGAGTTTCACTTTCAATCGGTTCGGGTTCGATTTGCATAACAAAATGAACGAACAAAAGAATTTGGCTACCGAACAGCCAAACAATTTAGAGCTGCTTCTGCTGCTGCTGCTGCTGCCAGAGTAGTCTCTGTCGCCGTCGACTGCGCTGTTGGCGTCAATACGTGTTGGTTAATTTGCATAAAAATTTTCTTTTCAAGCCGAGGTTCATCAAATTTTTATCAACGCCGCCGCCACAGCTGTCGCTCGGTTCAGGCAATAATCAAAGCCGCCTTAAAAAAAATAAAACATGTTCGACAACATATTGGGGCGAACCTTATCTTGATTTCCAGCATAATTTTTAAACGCTTATTCTGAGGGTGATATTCATCTTGGTATAAAACTGGCACCTCACCTCTTGACCACATCATTCCGTGCTCGCAGCTCCGACTAGAACTAGAACCCCAAAGATGCGCGCATTCATCGTCTTGTGCCTTGTGGCCGTTGCCTGTGCCGATAAACTTGGCTACAACTACCAGCCGGTAGGACACTCCAGCTCAGGACTGTCGTTCGCTCCCGGCAGCGGAAGTGTCAGCTCTGGAGGTCTCGGAGTTGGCTCCCTTGGAGGATCCAGCTCAGGATCCCTTGATATCGATGACTCTGGACTGGGCAGCTCAGGACTTGGCGTCTCTGGACTGGGCAGCTCTGGACTGGGTAGCTCTGGATTGGGCGGCTCTGGTCTGGGAAGCTCTGGATTGAATGGACCCGTCAGTTACAACGCTGCCCCATCCTCTGAGCTGAACAAGGAATTCTTCACGTTCACTGCCAACGAAGAAGATTTCGATGAGCCACAAGCTTTGGAGCGTGCTTCTAGTTCCGTCAACAAGGGTCTCCGCGTTGTTTTCATCAAGGGTCCCGAGAACCGTGGTCTGGAGAACGCTGCTCTGGCTCTGGCCAAGCAGGCTGCCGAGCAACAGACCGCCATCTATGTCCTGAACAAGCAGGCCGACATCGGTGATCTGGCCAACAAGCTGAACGCCATTCGCAGCAACAGCAACAACAAGCCCGAGGTGCACTTCGTCAAGTACCGCACTCCCGAGGATGCTGCCAATGCACAGCGTGCCATCCAATCACAGTACGATCAGCTGGGAGGCACTAGCCAGTCTCACAATGGAGGTGTGGCCAATGCTCTGAACTTTGCCTCGGCTCCACAGTACCGTCAGCAGAGTGCTCAAATTCCAGAGAACTCTTACCTGCCCTCGTCTGTCCTCCGTCGTCTGCGTTACCGTCTCTAAGTATATTTTATCAACTGTTTTGTTGAGCCTCTGTTATCTATTGATTTGTCAAATAATTCAAATACACTTATTTAAAATGTATCCAGCATATGTTTCTAATCTCCGACCCCATATAAAAGTCTGTCTAACGATAGAGTCATTTCTTTTTTATAAAAGGCACCTAATATAATTTCCATGTAACACTGTCCAAAAAAAAGGTGGCATTCGATGTTCACTGTGAGCCATAAAAATTCCAGCGCTGTGACGATATCATCGACGCCCAGTGGAAACCAATAAAAATTAACATTTTGTCATTTTGTGTGTACGCCTATTGTACAAGAGGCGCAAAACGAAATTTTTGGATAATAATTAAAATGTTAATCTGCGTGAAGTAAAAGGTTAGACAAACTATTGGCACCCAAATTTATGGCAACTGCAACACGGAACAATCACGACTAGGCCAGCCAAAGCCAGTTCACTGCATTATGTATGAGTAAAAACAGAGCGATCGCATGAATGGCCAATAACAAGCAGAGACAATAGATGCTATATTCAAGAGCACCCACTATCCTCTATTTGCATAAATATAAATAAAAAACCACATCAGTTTATTTTAGGTATCATTAAAGACCAGCCTGCAAATGAGGAAAGAATTCAATTGTCAATTGGGCATACATTTTATATAAGTGTCAAATATACAAAAAAAGTTTAATCAAAATGAACAAAATAAAATAGAATATGAGAATGAATGGGAATTTAAAAAATAGTTTAGATTTTTATTTTCTTTTGATTGTTTTGTGAATTGAAATGCCGTGAAATGTATGTTCGGGGATGGAACCTTGTTATGAATACATTTTACATTTAACAAGCCTGGACGCGGGCGAAGTCATGTCGGGAAATTATAAATTTTTATAATGTTATATAAATACTCTAGCTAAGTTATACTTAATCGACCCAGTGCATAATATAAAAAGCACATTATAGTAAGTTAGTAAAATATTCACTTTTATTATATTACTTCATCAGTCAGACGTAGTCAATACCACTACAAATTCATACATTCTTTTTGCGAACCAAGAAATATAAATGCATCTTTTATTTTAAAATGGCAATAGATAATCATTAAAATTTTAATGGCTTTTAAAACATCCACTTTTTATTATGTTTATGTTTATAATAGTTAATAATATTTAAGATTGAATAAAGTGTCTTTGTTAGTAAAATTATTAGCAAGATTATATCATAGGAGTTTTTTAAATAATTTAAATATTAATTGTTAATCCAAAAAACACGTTTTTCTACCCTAAGCCGTAAATCTCTTTATATAAAACTGTTTGTCCTGACTGGCTGATTGGTGATCAACGCACAGCCCGAATCACTGTAGTTACCTAATGTGATGGAGGTGCACGTTAAAACGGGGCTTCAGTTAATTCCACCCACATGAGTGGAAAAATCGCGAGAAATCGTTTGTATGAAAGTCTTTTGTTGTCGTCCGATCGGCTTAAAACCCATTTTCAAAACTCTTTGAGAGGGCAAAGCCAGGTATACCCGCTTGTATCCTAAATAGAGTCTAAATAAGTCAACATTTCCAACGCCGATAACTCTGTTAAATCTCATCGGAGGTTTCGGTCTTCGTTGATGGCTTGGCCTCTTTATTCCTGGTCAAAATTTATCTAAAAATGGTACTCACAAATATCCTATATAGGTTAAAATCTCCACCTACATAACTTAGTCGATTTCATTAGATTTTCACGACCTTTGGGTTTTTGTCCATGGTATTTCTAGATAAATTTAGCTTCTAAATATCATCGCATTTAAGAATGGTTCGCTCAAATATCTTATATAGACATAGGTCGAAATTACCCATCCCTACATCTTAGAGCCAATAACATCAAGATAAGACCAATTATTTTGTCTTTAAAAATAAATTTTAGTTTTTATTTTTAATTTCAATTTAATTAAGATTCAAGCTATGGTTGGGTCGATGTGGTGTATTGACGTCACGTGGCTCAGTAAATCAAATAGTTGTTTAACTAATAGAAGTAGTTCGATGTTTTAATTTCTTGTCTGGAATTCCAGAGGCTAGTTCGCCCTTGTCAAATAAGGAGGTCATCTAAAATTGGCACATGTGGTGCAGTAAATGGCAAAAGATAGGTAAAACTGCGAAAATGCGATAAAAAATGCTGCGACATAAAAACATAATCAGCTGAAATAAAAGAAAAAGTGAGCAGCGAATTGAAATTGGCAAATACCGCTTAATGTGGTGCACAAATTAAAGATGACCAATAAAAAACGATATCGTAAATTGATTGTGGTGCAAAAAAACGCAGCATTTCCAAAACGATTTCGTATCGCATAAAAAGCGTGGGTGTTAAAGCTAACAACAGAGTTCAGCTCGATACGTCCAATAGTTCGGTAGTATTATCTTAAAAATATACAAAATGCGTGTCCTTATTGTGAGTATTGACAGGATCTACAAAATACCAATAAACATACTCAAATCATACGATTAACAACATTGCTTTCATAGACAATTTGCCTGCTGGCCGTAGTCTACGCTGAGAGATTGGGATACAACTACCAGCCTGTGGATCAGCCCATCTCCTACACGCCCAGCGCTGTTGGCCAAGCTGCATATATTCCACCTGCGGAAACTGGAGCTATTGAACCAGGTTTTGCTGCACCGGCACCCGCTGAGCAGGCATACCAAGCCCCTGCTGAGCTGCTCAAGGAGTTCGTCACCTACACAGCAGACGAGCGCGATTTCAACGAGCCCATCAACCAAGATCAGCTGTCAAATAATCTTCGCAAGAACCTGCGTGTTGTATTCATTAAGGGACCCGAATACAGTGGTGTGCAAGATGCTGCATTGGCGCTGTCCAAGCAGGCAGCCGAACAACAAACCGCAATTTATGTGCTGAACAAGCAGGCCGATATCAATGATCTTGGCAACAAGCTGAACAACATTCGCTCCAACACCTATCAGAAGCCGCAGGTGCACTTCGTCAAGTACCGCACGACTGAAGATGCCATCAATGCCCAACGCGCCATTCAGGGTCAGTACGATCAGCTGGGCGGTGTCTCCATTAATCAGGATGGCGGCGTTGCATCCGTGCTGAACTTTGCATCCCGCGGACCCGCCCAAGCTGCGCCAGCTGTGCAAGAGCCCTTGAACTCGTATCTGCCCGCATCGGTGCTGCGCAGTCGCCTTTAGGAGTCGTCTTTGGGAGCAGCTAGCTATTGACTCCAGACTGACCATAACTGATAGCCACGCATATGTTAGCCCATTGTAAATAATTTTTGTTTAGTTCAAATTGCAAGTTTTTAAATAAATAATAATAATAATTATAATGAAATATTGTTGAAACTTTAAAATTTGCACAACTTTTTGGCATAGCAAATGTTGTAATATTTGAACAGGCTAACATTGAACTATTTACCTTTTACGGCGAGCCTCTGCCATCATTATTCCATACTTGGCCCTACAGTCTGCAAGCCAATATTATAAAACGCTCATCGGATTGTGGACTGCTAGACAAATGATCGTTGGTTTTTGCTGCGCCTACAGCATGCGGAAAATTGTGGTAAGGCAGTTTTTAAACGATGAGATTGGAGCCCCGTTTAACCAATATTTTTCGTAGTTTTTAACTCTCTTAGCTATATGCTCGGCGGAGCTGGGCTACGATTATCAGCCAAATTCTCCAGGTCTTGGCTATGAAGCAGAGGCATTAGACAACCATCACGGCACGGACCATTATGAAGACCATGCAGATTATCAGAAGCACTTCTACGCATTCGAAGCACCCTACGACTCGGTCGATGAGTCTGACCTGATAGAGCACAAGATATCGACGCAGTCAAAGAAAAACTTACAGGTGGTGTTCATCAAGGCGCCCGAGAACAGGGTCGTCGATAGCGCCCTCCACGCTCTGGCCACACAAACCAACGAGGATAAAACTGCGATCTATGTGCTGAACAAGCAAACGGATCCGCATGAATTGGCAAGCAAACTGAGCGTTCTGCAGACGCAACATAAACACAAGCCACAAGTTCATTTTGTCAAATACAGGACGGAGGAGGAGGCTTTGCAGGCGCAGCAGCACATTCAGGCGCAGTACGGAGGAGCCACGTCTCAGTCATTGGAGTCCTTGCAGCAGCCATCATTGGGTTACTCGCAGACCACGGAGCCGGCCCCTCAGGCCTACTATCCGGACAAGCAGCCATTGGCACCGCACGGTTACTATCCCCAAGAGCTATCAGCTGTGCCGCCTGAACCGCATCCAACCTATCTTCCCCCCTTGCCCAACTATGGCAGCTTACCACAGCCCTACGAAGGAGGTGCAGATCAGGGTCGCCTTGATTTGCCTTCACTGCCTTTACCAGAGCAGCAGCTGGCTCCTAGTCCCTATGACTTGGACGCACGCACTGCAAGATCACGACGTATCGATTTTCGAGTCAATGAAAGACACCGTTCAGACAGTCGCATGGTGTTTCCCACTGAGAAAACGTATCTGCCATCTATCTCAAAAAGCTATCTGACACCTCAGAAGATCCGAAGACGCGCCCACTTCTAAAAACCTCAGATTAAGACATTTAAGTAGTAGCACCATAAGACTGTCAGATACATATGTTTCAAGCTTTTAAGACAATAAACTTGCCATTATCTCTACAGATATTTCTGTTTTTTCTAAGAATATGTAGATAAGGTTGTTAATTACGTTAAGCTGATTATCGGTTAAGATCTAGAGCGAGGCTTGTCAGCTTATTAAATTAAACAAAACAAAAACACGAAAACGACGTGTAAATTAACCCAAACAACAGACATAAAACGCGATCATCAAATCAAATTCAAGTGCAAGTATAATACAATAGTGTGTTGTGCTGGCAGGGGCGGAGGGGTAATTGTGTTGGAATCAAAACAAATGTATCCGTCTATGGCAGCGGGCAGAAATCGCATATGAAAATAATTTGATAACTAATTCAAATTGGGAGCTCATTTGTAAATTTTATGCGAATTAATTCAAGTTCAAGTCGAGCTCAGGTCAAACTCACATGAGTTTTTGGCTTCGGCTTTGTCACTGGCAAGCCACCAAATTTGCATTTCCAAACTGAGCGACATTAACATGGATAATCGGATCAGGCAAATACAACAAGCAGAGCACAAATGTGTGCAAAAATCTTTTTAAAATCCATAAACAAAGCCAAAATCCAAAGCAGAAAAAAAAAACAATGCAAACAAAGTCAACGCAGCCGAAATCTCAGTTTTGTTGTTTGTGTCGTATATAAGGATGGTTTTGTTGCTGTGACTAGATTATAATCGAGCTGAGCTTCAAGCGCTAAAAATCAGCCGCTGCAGGCCGCAAAGCGAAACCCAACGTGGAACAAACATGCGCGCCCTAATGGTAAGATAAAAGTTTTCCAGGCTGCAACATGGTGTAACTACACTCCGGCTGATGAAATTTCCACTTCTCACTTGCCACAGAGCCTTTGGCTGTGTCTCTGCACCAGCCATGCCTTTGACCCGAACAACGCCTACTTGCCAGCCAACAATGAATATTCACCCCGTCCCCTTGTGACGGAGTATTTCAGCTACACTGCACCACCCGAGGACGATCAGAGCTTGCCCCTGCAAGCAGCTCGCCAGCTTGCCACAGCACTCGCACCTCCGCAGCAGGTTGTTTTCATACGCACGCCGGAGACAAGTCTGTTCACGCTGACGGCCAAGCAGCTGGCGGCGAGCAAAGCTTTGGATATCTACGTGCTCCAGCGTCATATGGATGCGGCCGCATTGGCCGAACAAAGGGCAGCCATTGAGCAGCAGGCAGGTCACAGGCCAACAGTTCACTTTGTCAAATATCGCACGCCCGCCGATGTAACTCGGGCTCTGAGCAGGCTGCGGGCCAATTACGATCAGCTGCCGGGCAACAGCTATAGCCATGCCGTGGAAACCGCAAATGTCATTCACCTCAACCCACCGCAGCATTTGGCACAGCCCGATCCAGTGGTGTTCAAGATCTTGCCCAAGGATGCTACAGAGTACGAGACTGACGAACAGGCGAGGGAACTGGAAGCCGCCAAGCTGCAGGCGCTCTTTCGGCCATATTTGCCTCGAGCGCAGCGGCGTTAGGCGTAGATTAAAAAGGACCAGTGCCAAAGACTGCTAAATATAAATACTTAGAAATAAATAGAAAATAAAAGCAATCAGTTTTTGCAATTCTTTCGCTTCTTATGTTTGGGCTGGATAATCAAGGAGACGGTTTTTCTTCAATATCCTAACAGCACATACATATATTTTCTCTTAAAGAAAACTCAATTCCGGTTACACATTTTTAATTACATTGTTTTTGTGTCAATTTGAATATTTTAGAAAAGTTATTTAATCAAATCTTAGCTTTTTAAAGATTTTTAATTAGTTTTGCTTTATAATCTATCTTAAAAGTAAAAAGTAACATTTTCATGATAATTATTGTCTTCTACCTAATTAAAATGTTTGCAATTCAGTTTCAATGTCATTATATTATCTTGTCAAAATTGAGCACTTCGAATAGCTTGCGCCAAGAGGGTCTCCTCACTGCCTTAAATTTGTGGCTTAACATGAAAAATAATTTTTGATTTTTATCAAAACAAAAACAATTTTCGGAGTAGCACACCTAATACTCTTCAGGCATATTTATATTTATAATTATAATATATTTTAAATTTTACGTGCAGTGCCTTATATAAATGCTACCTTTGATGTTATCAATGTCAGCAAAGTGTAACATTCTCTGTTAGGCTATACAGAAAAAGAAAAATAATTTTTTATTTCAATCAAAACAAGAATTTACATCCGAGTACTGATTAGTAGCAGACTTAAATCTTTTCGGGTATATTTATATTTCTATTTCTATTTATTACGTATTTTAAATGTTGCGTGCACTGCCTTATATCAATATTACATTTGATGTTATCAATGTCATCAAGGTGTAACATTCTCTGCTAGGGTATACAGATGTTTGGTAATAGAGATGACAGAGCTGGCCCAGGCCTGACCGCAGTATTATGAATAATTAATGAGTTGGCTGACAAGTCGAAACATTTCACTTTTGAGCTTGCGTTGAGCCATCCGCACTGTTTCGGATTATCTTTAAGATATCTCTTAGATAATCATAAAGGTGGTATGGTGCTACTCAGGCCAGGCCAGGCCCCGCCCCCGATGCGATCTGTGTCCATGCTAACATTTTCTTAAGCAATGTGTCTGCTGCTGCTGTCGACGTTGTCGCTGGAAAACTTTTTAATGAGGTATGCGCGGAGTTGGGGCTGCCCAGCTACTTGTCCCACCAGCTAACGCGCTATCCATCCGTGAAGCTTAACGACAAGCGGTGCTTTAAGAATGTTTCAACTGAATTATGGCAGCGCCGGCGCTGACGATGACACTCGGGCTGACATCATGTTGCTTTGCAAATTGTTTTAGTGTCAGAGGTCAAACACACACCGCCATGTGGCACACTGAAGTGCAGTCGTAAAAAAAGGTATCCTGACCCTACAAATCTGTTGAGCAAGTTTTAGTTTGAGAATTTTTGAGCAACATGAGAACCGGTACCTAAGAGAACGTAGCTCGTTAGCGGCGCCTGCCAAAAAGTTTGCCAGTCACGTCAAAGCTGCCAGGTTTTTGCCGCTCTTTGGGAAACGTTGCAGGTACGAGTACCTGCCAGCTGCTTTAATCCTGGCTGGCGGCTGGCGGCTCATGACTTGAAGTTGTTGCTGCAAAATATCAACACAGGTGTGTCCAAGGTCCAAGCATAGCGCCAGCGTCTCAAATTCAGCCTCAAGTTTGCGTGCTCCCAATCTTGTTACCCAGGTCTTTTTACTTATCGTTTTGCCTATCACGACCACATTAGGCGCGTTTCGTTTCTTCTAGCCTCGTACTACACTTTTTCCGGAAGGCAACTAGCCAGTGTGGAATGATATAATAAAGCCCAGCATGACGAAAGAGTTTGGTACGAAAAAAAAATGTGAATTTGATTACTTTAGCACACTGTTTACTCCAAATTTGGAACCGATATACATTTCACCTAAAAACGCATACTATATATTTTTGATAATTCTTTTATTTTAATTGATGCTTGATAATTTAAATAAAATAAATACAACTGCAGCAAAATAAATTTCAAATAATTTACTATTTCTTATCTCTATTATTTGCATAATTAATTTAAGATGGGTATTTTATGGGTAAAGGCAGGTATTATGGTGTTATGCGAATATAACTAACTGGCTAAAAAAGGCTCCATAAAGCTTATATATGCTGAGTATCGACAGCCGATTCGAGCTTATCAGGTTGATATGTGTGCCCGTCTTCGATTGTCAAATCAGCTATATAGGCTTTCAGGTTAGCCATATAGGATAACACGGAGGATACACGAGCTAGAATCACAAAATGTAATATGCATATTCAAGTTTGATGTACACAGAGCTTAGACCCGGAAACATTAAAACATGTTTTGCCTTGCACTTGGTAAGACTTGACTCAAAATTATTTAGAATTGCACAGGGTATCTCTTAGTTGTGTCTTGCCGACTAGAGCCCTCTTACAAGAATAAGTTTTGTATTGTTTTTGGTATCCATGAATTTCAAAATGCTTAAATTAGTCAAGAAACTTTATTAGCCGCCTGGGCATAATGTATTGAGGCATTCTGCAGCAAGGATGGGTGGATAAAAGCGAAACTTTCGGGAAAGTAAGAAAATTATAATTACTAGCTTAGGCAGCGCTTGGGATATTATCAGCCAAAATCGGTAGCTGTTTATTTGTTCACAATAAGCTATGCTGCTTTGGAGTGGGACGTCTTTTAGGTTTTGGTTTTTTTCCAACAACAACATTAGGATTGGGGAATGTGACAGAATGAGACAAAGCGGCCCATGCATATTTATAGGTGTCGTAAAGTGCATTTAAATCAAAATGCGACGGCGTTGAAGCCAAGATAAACGGCCGCAGATGCTGACTGGGCCTACTAGACGTCTTGACTTGGTTGTATTTAAATGCGTGCGGCTTTTTAATGACTTTGGCATGGCATAAATAACAAATTAATATCGCATTCGCTGCCAAGGTCACAGATGCCAGCTACCAAGCGCTTTCATTGGAAGCTGGGGGTGGGGATAAGTCGCCATAGAGCTGCACTCGACTGCGCCTATAAAAGCCGCTGCCTCTTCGATTCCCAGCATTAGTTTCACCTCTTAGCTTCAGCCGTGTGGAACAACAAAGAAAACAAACAATGCGTGCATTTATTGTAAGTCTTAAGGTGCTACCGATCGATAACAGCCCCATGGCTAATTTCACCCACTTCCATAGCTGATATGCCTGTGGGCAGTCGTTTGTGGCGCCGACAATTTGGGCTACAACTATCAGCCGGTCGCCCAAGCGGATGAGGGCCTCTCTCTTGTGCCCAGCAACGGATTGGCGCCTGCCACGCAGCAACAGCATGGAGAGGCTGAGCTCTCACTGCCCATTGCGGCGCCAGCTGCTGCACCGGCTCCGGTTGCCATCATTCCACAGGCGGCGCCTCTGGTCGAAGAGTTCCAAAAGGAGTTCTATACCTATGCCGCGCCCGAGGACCAGTTCGACGACGGCATCAATAATCAGCAAATCGCCGACTCGCTAAGGAAAAATCTACGCGTTGTGTTCATTCGCACGCCCGAGAATCGTGGCTTCGAGCGCGCCGCCCTGCAGCTGGCCAAGCAATCAGCCCAGCAGGAAACCGCCATTTATGTGCTCAGCAAACAGGCAGATGTTGCCAATCTGGCTAAGCAGCTCAACGCGCTTAAGTCGAGCTCCTCCAACAAGCCCGAGGTGCACTTTGTGAAATATCGCACACCACAAGATGCGGCCAATGCCCAATTGGCCATTCAGAACCAGTACAATCAATTACCCGGCGCCTCACGCATCTCCAACGAAGGCCGCGCTCCAGTCTTGAACTTTGCCTCGAATGCGCCGGCCTCGCCCGTAAGCGCAGCACGCTCGCCTAGCTCTGAGTACCTGCCGGCCAATGTGGTGTCTGAGCAGGATTATCTGCCGCCCGCTCTGCGCCGCTTTCGCGTCAAGTGAGCTTCGATAGCGCACTCCTGATAACACACATCCATACAGCCGTACACACACACACGCCATCAAGCCAACTACTTAGTTTTGTAAATACCAATACAGGAATAAACATTTTAAGCTGACATATTTTCATCTCTGCTCAATTGCTCGATGCAGCTGAAAGCTGCTTTCCAGCTAACTTTCATTGCCGCCTAATTGGCCGTCCCCATTTCTATTCTCACTTTGCGTCCCGCACGCTCTGCCCCAATGCCATTTGCCTGGTTAGCTCGTTTTATGTGTGATTTGTTTTCCAAAGCAAATCCTATCCAACGGCTACGACTTCGGTGTCTGCGTCTGGTTGTGCAGCCGTGCGTTGTCCTTTCACAGTTAATCCTTGAAATAATAGCATGGATAAAGTGGCAGGCATGTCATAAAGTCCAGCAACAAGTTGAACCAACCCCCACCCCAAACACACAACAGAGACACGCGCACAAAGACAGCTACGTTCACATATGCACAACGGTTTAACCAGCCGCCATATGTAATTGGAGTTATTAGAATCGAAACGAAAGCTGCTCTACAATGGCCGGAACCCAAGCTCGTTGCCAGCTGTGGTCGAAACGAGTGGCAACGTCCTGTGGCACCTGTGGACGAACCTGAATTCTGGCTGCTGATTTGGACGCTGCCTGCGGCCTCCTCTGGTTTGCCAACGGGCGTGTGTGTGCTTGCCTGTGTGTGTGTGTATGTGTGTTTGTCTTGATGGCTTCCTGCTTCCGCAGTAGGCAAACTCATCATGTGAAAAGCCGCACCCAAATGCCCTTCTGCAAATCACCCAACCGAACCCCCATCCGCCGCTTATACAACTATGCACTGGATTTAGAACGTTGTTGAGTGGAGTCCTTAAATTTCACTTAGATGTAACATAAAACTGGCATAAACGCAACTCAACGGCGCATGAATTCATGGCCATGACGGCAGCTGTTTCAATGAATGTGTGCCTTGCCTAGCGTGGGTGTGTGTGTGTGTGTGTGTGCGTGTGTGCAAAAATCACACGCTTATCAGCAGTCAAGTGC